AAAAAAAAAAAAAAAAAAAAAAAAAAAAAAAAACACACCAAAGGACTAGAGACACAACTCAATGGTAAAGTCCTTCTCTAGCATACACAAGGCCCTAGGTTTGATCCTTTATACCACAAATATCAATCAATCCATCAACAATTATAAACAAGTCCTAGTATGGTCACTCATGTAGTACCAGCACCCAGAAAACTGAGATAGGAAGATCAATAAGAGTTCTAGGCCAGGAAAAATAAATGTGTCATCATTGGCCCAGATATAAACTTAATATTCAAATAATACTGTGTACTTCTTTCTGAGGCCACTACCCTTTGAACAAATAATTTATGTCTGCAAGTTCATCTTCAGTATGTAACAATCAGGGGTTTAGCCACTCCAAAGTGCCACCAAAAGTCAGTTACTAGAGTAGCTGAAGACTAAGTATTCAAGCACATAACTCCAGCCAGGTAGGATGGTATATGTCTATATCCCAGTGCTTACCAGCCTGGGATAGCCTGTAATCAATCACAGGCCAATCTTGCCTACCCATCTCAAAAACAAAACAAAAACTAAAAGACCCACTAAAGCTGGAAGTGGCAGCTCACCCTTGGGTGGTCCCAGTACTTGAGAGATGGAAGCAAGAAAATCAAAGAGTTCAAGGCTAGCCTGGGCTACATAGCAAGTTCCAGGCCAGGCTAGGCTACATGAGACCTTATCTCAAAAACCAAGGTTTATTAGCTATTAAGGTAACAAATCCTGTGTTTCCGTATCAGATCTCTAAAATAGTTCTCGCTGCAGTATTTCTTATTTCTCTTCCCTTCTCTGCAGGTTTAAAGGCACCACACTGAGATACAGCCTACAATACCAGTGCAACATTGTTGTCTGCAATGCCCAGTAGACAACAGGTGCTATGTGCTTTTCAAACAAGTAAAAACTACCAAACTATCCCAGCTCACTAAAATTGTGATCTGTCAAAGTTGGGGTTTCCAAGTATAAACCTAACATACACCTTCTTGTTGAAGAAACAACTGGCCAGAGAATGAACGTTAGCAAGTTACCGTAAGATACAGCATTACTTTAAAAAGACAGAAATCGATAACACAGACCAGAGGTTAAAATGCACACATCCCTTATCTCAAGCTCAAGTAAAATGACAATCTTGGGTGGAGCGAAGCTTTTAAACAAAACATTACAAACAGACATATATAAGGCACTAAGTCCATCCCGTGAGAACAGAGGGGTAAATAAGCAGGTACAGAAAGACACACAGAAAGGCAGAACAGTGTGAGCGACATTCCACCTGCCCAATGAGGTGGGCTTGATCTCAGTTTACACTTCCACAAGAACGAAAGTAGCAGGCACCAGACAGACGGTGCAGCAGGTAACACTGTTCTTCCAGAGGACCAGGTTCAGGTACCAGGACCACATGGCAGTTCACACCCCTCTAAACCTAAGTTCAGCACATGAGATGCCCTCTTCTGGCCTCTGCAGGCGCCAAACATGCATACACATGCATGCAAGCAAGCACTCATATAGATAAAAACAAATTAAAAGGATGAAAACACTTTACTAGTAGAAATTAAGGAGAGTGAAAAAGCTGTCTAAGGAAAGAACCGGGAGAAATCTGCTAGTTGCAGACTTGGAGAACTGACATTTCACCAGATCCAACAGCACTCTGTATGTAAGCCCAACAGACCCAGTGGGTGAAAGATTTACAATGACTTTCTTCCTGAATGACCGAGAAATTTTAACAAAACACAGAAGAGACTCTAGACCCACATCCGACCAGTATCCTTGCAAGAAGTCCCTCAGGAAGCTTCTGCTCTATTCAAAGGGAAAAGAAGCACACTCTTCCAAACTAACCCTTAAACGTACTACAGGAATGGCTGGCAAGATTTCAAAGTTTACTGGTCCATGAAACAAATCTCCCCTGTAACCAGCATCTCCTGCCACCCAAATCTTCTATTCCATTCCTAAATGTGCCCAAGCCGTACTGTGAATGTCTTTGCCAGTACTCACCTTACTAACGCCAACTCCAGTGAACCTGGCCTCCAGTAATTCCTGCCTTCGTGGGTCCAGACTATGCAATTCTTCCATCATTTCTACAGGAGGAAAGAGGGTCAAGAAGCCATGAAAAAACAAATGAAAGAAAAAGTTTCATGTGTAAGAAAACGCACAGGAATTAGTAAACCTCCAAGAAAATAGACATTCAAGTGTTATATTCATCAAGTCAGTTGACGTTATCAATAGCTATTTTAGATTACATAGCAGCTCAAGCTCTCTTCTATGAGGGTCTTTTCTTTTTCCTGACTTTCTAGTTTGATCTTTACTGGGGGAGAGAGACCCATTCCCACTCTTGTAATCCCAACATGAAGGAGGTATAAACAGTAGACAGCCATAAATTTGAGGGCAGCCTGGTCTGCCAGAACTTCACGATGAGACCCTGTCTCATAAATAAAAACTAAGTAAATAAGAAGAAACAGCAGACTATCTCTGCAAAAGGTAAGCGGAGGGGAAAGAAGGGCGAACCTGGAAGCCGCTCTTTCTATCCACCTTCCCATCTAAGTGCTTTCAGACATTTCTCTCCCAAACACATAAGAACTAGTTCTTAAGCTAAAAATATGATTCATTAATAATTTCAAATGAATACAGAATGAATCAGAAGCTGCAAATAACTTCAAGTAACCCTACTGCATAGCCCCTTTCCCTGACAGCTCGCAGGAGCTAATGAACTGGAATTCGCTCATTTTAAAGTTAATGAAGAACCCAAGATAAACCGTCAACCTATATTCACTCAGGAAATTAATATTAACGCTGCAACAATTCCTTCGCAAAATCTTTTCTGGCCAGTCCTTGAAGCAGTAGGTTTCTCTTCACTCTGGAAGTCTGCTTTTAGCACTCCTCCCAGGCAGGGAGGGGCAGGACGACACCATTTTTAAACTCCTTCCCCGACCAATTGATGCAGACACTGGGAGCCAGTCCGGCCAACCTTTGGAAGAGCGAACTCTTGCACCATGCACTGCAAAGCTCTTTAATGTAAAACGTGTGGATACATCATGTCATAGAAACCCTTCGACCACACCACCGACTGTGTTCGACTGACTTAATTTTTAAAGTTCACCGAAAACATGAATCAAACCTCCTCTGCAATCTAATAACTCCACAATTTCCAGTAACATCCCCTCCACAAGTCCTAACTTTCATTTCCCTTCCTGGACTGAGAGAGCCCGGGGCAAAGGGTGACAAAGTTTCACTCACACAGAACAAGTACTGGTTGGAGAAGGAATTAGGACATTGTTAGAAGGGCAGAAAGGCATCTTTAAAATAAAAAAGACTGGAAAGAAAACTGAGTTTTCCCTAAGTAGGTAAGTGGCCTTGCTCGCCACTCGCCCTGCCCTAATCGAGGTCGGAACGGCAGAGGTTGCAGTCTCTCCCCAATCCCAAGGTCCCTGGAAACATTTCCCAAACCTCCATCCCCAGGCCTGGTCCGGAAAAGGAGGCCCCAGCAGTCATCCCATTTAATGTCAACTCATGTTGAGAAAATCCCCATCCCATCTCTTTCCGGCGAGCCTTGGGACCGGGATCCTCCCAGCAGCCCCAACCCGGGAAGCAGGACCGACGGGGCCTGGTCCCGGCGCCCCTCGCCGGCTCCAAACTTTCCCCTAACTCTGGGCCCACCTGTCACGGAGGGAGCGGGGGACAGTGTCGGGGGCGCCCGGGAGGCTGCGGAGGCCTCCGGCTCCCCGGAGTCCCCTCTCTCGGCAGGCCGACCGCCCCACTCCCAGGCCTGGGCCTGGCCCATCTTCGACCCGGCCCCTCCGCGACCCGCAGCCCTCGGGGAGCGCCTCCCGCCTCGGTGCCCAGGAGCTGCGGCCCGACGCCGGCCCGGGTGGCAGCCTCCTCAGGCCGAGGGGGTCCCCGGGACGGTTGTTCTCCCAGGCCCGGCGCCCTCCGCCGGCCCGGGCTCGGCTCCTCACCTGCCGCCGCTGCCGCTCCACGCTCCTCTCGGGAGGGGCCCCGACCCGACCCGGCTGCTGACCGCTCCGCTCTCCCCCTGGGCAGGCCCGGGGCGGAGCCGGGGCCTCTCCTGAGCGCCGCAACCCCCTGCCCGGGCAGCCGCCGCCGGCGCCGGGCTCCACGAGAGGGCGGGCGGGGGAGGGGGGCCGCGGAGGCCGCAGATCCCCGAGCTCGCGTACGGAGCCAGGCGCCTGACGCGGGCCCGGGCCCGGGCGGCCGCGGGGGGCGCGGGACCGGCCTCCTGGCGCCGGACAAAGGCCAAGGGAGGCGCAGGAGGGCCCGGGTCGGGCCGGGAAGTGGGGGCCCGCTCGGCCGGGGCCACTCGGGTGCGGCGCCGAGGGCGGGGGTGAGGGGGTCGGAACCGCTGGTGCCCAGGACCCGCCTCCGGCCCCTTAATCCGGATCGGTTCGGTCCGGATTAGTAGTGATCGGTGTAAACACACTAGTGAAACCGCGTGTTTCCTCGCGAGATTTGCACGGCTGGGAGGCGGGGGGGGGTTCCTGAGGTGGGGGGGATAGGCCGCCGGTGGGGGAGGGGACGCGAAGGTGTTGTTGGGGGGGCGCTGCCCCGGCGCTCCGCCTCCTCCAATCAGCGGCCGGGATGGCGGGCAGGGGTTAGCCGGGGGACCCCGCGCCGACCGGCGGAGCAGGCCGCGCCTGACGGGGCTGCCGAGGGCGGGCGGCTGGCAGCGCGGGCGGCCCGACTGCGACGCGAGGGGCGGTTGGTCGGTCCGGGGGCGCCGGGGCAGCGGCCGGGCCGGAGCCTCGGGAGCCGCCTTTGTGTAGCCGGCGATCGGGCTGCGTCCCGGGCCGCGGAGCAGCGTCGGAGCGGCCCGCCTGCCGCCGCCGCGCCAGCCCTGATCTCCACACATCTGGGTGAGGAGTGAGGCAGCTCTGCCCGGGGACGGATCGGAGAGGAAGGGGGCGCCGGCGCGAGTTGTGGGGGTCACGGAGTTCGCGGTGCCCACCCGATGGCCGCCGGGCCCGCCATTCCCCGCAGCCACCGTCCAGTTCCCCAGACCCCACGCCACAGGCGCGGAAACCTCGCCGAGCGCATCCGCCTTCCTTCCACGTACCTGACCGGCCGGGCGTTCTCCGGGGACAAAGGTGTCCTGGGAGCAGAGCCGAGCCCTCTCACCAGTGTGCCCCCCTCCGGAGCGGAGGGCTACCCCCGGGGGACTCTCTCCGAGCACCGAGAGGGAGGTTCCATTGCAACCTCTGGTGACAGAACGGGCCTACCGGGGTGCTCGGGGGTCTGAGGGTAAATGGCAGCGTGGAGAAACAGGCCTGCCCCCCACAGTGTCTGCTGAGACGGTGACCTGCGACGGGAGGGCTTCCTGCATGGGAAAGGGCTCCCCCTCTGACCCCAGCGCCAAAGGGAAAAAAGTCACTTTCTTCACCTAGTCTCAGGAGCCAGGACACCGACTTCAAAGTATCTGCTCGGCTTTGTGTTCCTTGACCAGATATCTGAACGAGACTGAAGGACTACAAACGACTCACAAGAGAAAGTCAGGCTTTTGAACGGCCACTCGAACTTTTCCAGGGGTTGGCAACTACTGCTAAACGGAGTTCGTATTTCTTCCTTATTCTTCATTTTTCAAAATACCGACTGGACAAAGAACTGCCAAACGGGCAAAGGATGGCAAATTCTTCTCCGCCCTTCAGAATTCAGGCACTATAGAAAGACTCAAATCGGAAGCCTTCCACATCCCAGACTACCTGGAAAGATAGCGTTTTGAAGGGCAGAGGGTAGGGAAAGGGGGCAAGGTGGAGCATGCATCCTGAAGCATGGAAAAGAAGGAGAACCGAAGTCGTGCACTGGTTCCTCTCAGAACAGCACAGAGGGAGAACAAATGGGCCGTTCTTCATTACAGGAGGACCAAGGAAATAATTCAGTAGTTGGACAGAGTGATGCATGCTTTTACTCCAAGCACTCAGGAGGCAGGGGGAGGATCTCTGTGAGTTCCAGTCCAGCCTGGTCTACATAGTGAGTTCCAGGGCAGCCAGAGCTACATAGTGAGACCAGCATCCATGGGAGGCAGGTCACAACTGCGTGTAATTCCAGCCGCTTACATGGGCACACACAGTCACATAATTAAAAATAAATCTTAAAAAAACATGCCCTGCAACTTAACTGAGCAACACGGGCTGGCCTCAAGGCAGAGTGCTGGGCTTACAGGCATGCAGCCACCATGCACAGCCTAAAAATAACTCCTTAAGATGACACTGGATGTCATAAATCAGGAGAGGAGAACGTAAGAGAAAGGAGTGGAGAGAGCTGAAGCTGGGTTCTACTCCAGCTGATCCCCACACAAGTTGCCTGGGCCAACTATCGAATCGTTTCAAGTTTCACCAACCTCGTGCTGAAGATTCCCAGTGCCCTTTCGAGATGGAAAGGTCCCTTTGGGGTTTTTTGTTTTGGTAGAAGGTATAATATACCTGAGGCTAACCTAGATCTCTCAGTGTGGCTGAGGATGACCTTGAACTTCTGATCTACCTTCCTCTGTCTTCCAAGAGCTAGGATTAATTACAGGGTACAAGCTAGGCAGTCTTACCAAATGAGCTACATTCCCAGCACACAGACACACCCTTATTAGTATTTTTAGAGTCTGTGTAGCCAAGAGTGGCCTCAATTCTCAATCCTCCTGCTTCAGCCCTCTAGGAGATGGGAGTTATAGGCATGTGGCCTCACACCTGTCTCCTCAGTGCAAATTTTTTTGTGTGTTTTTGTTTTTTTTGAGACAGAATTTGTCTGTGTAACAGTTACAGCTATCCATCCTGGAACTTGCTCTGTAGACCAGGCCGGCCTCGAACTCACAGAGATCCGCCTGCCTCTGCCTCCTGAGTGCTGGGATTAAAGGCATGCGCCACCACGCAGCCTGAGTATATTTTTTTAAGGAATCACTAGAACACAGAGATAAAAAATTTTTTTCACTCTTCTTAATTTTCTGTACATATCAAAGAACCTAATACCATCCCGGGTCTCCTTACCCGAGACTCAACAGCCATTCCAACAGGAACTGCTTACAGGAATTGCTTAGAGTAATTGAGTGAGTCTTTATATTAAGCATCATATAATTCAAAATATCAATACAATACTAGCCAAGCATGATGGCGCACACCTCTAATCCCAGTACTTGAGAGGCAGATCCAGGCAGATCATCTGGCTGGACGTACGTGAGAGTAGCTATGGTTTTCTCCAAGGTTTGTTGTGCAGATTTCAAAGCCAATGAGGGTTACTTTGCCCAAGAATTGGGGAAATGTGGGCTAAACTTCAGCAGAATCCTTTGCTGTACACCTTACAGAGTCTGTTGTATGTGTTCTGTATGGGACTGCCCCCGAGAATTTTCATTCCCCATGTGCTTTCCTGACATTTGCTTTTGGAAGCATGGAAAGCAATCTGGTTGATTGTTGAAGAATTAACTCGTAGGAAAAGTACCTTGAGGAAAAACCAGGGTCCGTTAAGCCCTTTTTACTGTGAACATATCCTCTTAGACCCCTGAGTACTACAGATTTTTCTAGTTTTTTTTTGGTTTTGAGACAAAGGCTCACTCCGCCCTAAGCTGGCAGAAGCTTGCAGCAGTCGTCTTTCCTCTGCCTACCTAGTGTGCTAGAATTACAGGTGAGAGTCGCCACACCCACCTCTGGCACACATGTTCTGGAATCTTCCACAATGGTCACCATCTTCAAGAGATGGTGATACAGAGCCAGAGAGATGGCTCAGCTGTTAAAGGCTAGGCTCACAACCAAAAGGGTAAGAGGTGATTTGATGGGCACTGCTGCCGCTAAGCCTAACAGCTATCACTGGCCATGGCTGTAGCACTTCAGGTTCCTGGTGGCTCACGCGTTTAACATCCCGGCACCCAAGAGGCTGAGGGTTATCAGGGTCATCCTGAGATACAGAGCGAGAGCCTGTCTCCAAAAGTGAAAGCAGCATCAGGCAGAGTGGGCTATGGTGCCCCTGTGCCCGTGTGCTGGCACGGCTGCCACCTCTTCCTCTAAGAGGCTGTGGTGTAATGACCTGGAGCACAGACTTTACCCTCCAGAAGCCCTTGATTCTGATCCTGGCCCAGGCTCTTAAAGGGTGCGGATCCTTAAGCTCCAAGCCTCAGCTTTTTTATCAGCGAAATGGTGTTTCAACCTCACAGGAATGCTGGCGGATTAAGTGAGAAAGTTTTGGACTGGAGAGATGGCTCAGAGGTTAAGAGCATTGCCTGCTCTTCCAAAGGTCCTGAGTTCAATTCCCAGCAACCACATGGTGGCTCACAACCATCTGTAATGGGGTCTGGTGCCCTCTTCTGGCCTGCAGGCATACACACAGACAGAATATTGTATACATCATAGATAGATAGATAGATAGATAGATAGATAGATAGATAGATAGATAGGAAAAAAAGTTTATATGCCTGACAGTAATCCCTGAATTAACGGACCCCAGCACAACTTCCCATTTCTGCCGGGGCTCTATGCACTTCTCCATAGTTTGGTTTGGCAGTGCAGTTTGATTTGGAAAAACAGGCTGCCAGCAGACTGAGCACTTGCAGCAGGAAAGGGATTGCATGTCGTAAAAGCATTACATTTTGGGGGGTGGTTATTCCAATTTTTGGTCGGTGTAACAAATACCTGAGAAAACTTACACAAGCTGGGGCTTATTGGGCTCATGGTCCTAGGGTCCAATGCTTCATGTAGAAGGGCAGGATGGAGCAGAAGTGTTCATCTTGTACAGGAACGAGGAGTGACAGGAAGTGGCCTGAGACAAGATATGCTTCAAAGTTCTGCCCTCAGTGACCTGTTTTTCCTTCCAAGGCCCTAAGAGTCATTTGTTTATGAACTAATACATGGACCGATTGTTGATGAAGTCAGTCACCCAACAGTGCCACCAAAGTGAGACCAAGCTTCAAATACAAGAGCCCTTTGGAAGAACACTACATACCCAAACAGTAAAAAATAAAATCTCTTCATTTATGGTCATCCCCTACCCTGTAAATTTAGAAGGCTCAGACTTTTGTGTTGTTGGATATTGAACCCAGGGGCTATACCTCCTCCAGCCGAGGGTGTAACACAGTAAAGATGACACGAACTGTTCTCAGGGCCAGTGTAGAAGAGGCGGTGTTTGGGAGGTGATACAACACTGTTCCAGTCTCATCTGCAAGCTGACCACGGTTCCATGAGCAGTGTTCACACAGTATCAGCGACCATCACGTGACTGTGGCTGACAGTGGGTATGCTATCAATTTTTGTTTGTTTTTTTTTTGAGAGAGGGTTTCTCTTTTTTTAAAATATTTATTTGTTTATTATGTATACAATATTCTGTCTGTGTGTATGTCTGCCGGCCAGAAGAGGGCGCCAGACATCATTACAGATGGTTGTGAGCCACAATGTGGTTGCTGGGGATTGAACTCAGGACCTTTGGAAGAGCAGGCAATGCTCTTAACCACTGAGCCATCTCTCCAGCCCCGAGAGAGGGTTTCTCTGTGTAGCCCTGGCTGTTCTGGAACTTGCTTTGTAGACTGGGCTGGCCTCGAACTCACAGATATCCTCCTGCCTGTGCCTCCCAAGTATTGGGACTAAATCTTATTTCCTCTCTTCTTTCCATTTCTAGCAAAATGGAGAACTACTCGCAGGAAAGTTCACTGTAGATTAAAACCCCTGATCTCAGCTCCCTAAGATTCTCTGCCTGTCATCTCTGGTCTCTGGGTTTTTCCTATCTCTTGCTTAAGCAAGTTGAACACACATTTTCCACCCCCATGCTAGAAACCAAACCCAGGCCTTGTGTTTGCTAGGCAAGCATTCTACCATTGAACTCAACCCCCCACACCCTAAGCAATTTGGTTTTTAACTGTTTTACTTATTATCTTGACAGAGCTGTGTGACTTATCAAGGTGCAAACTCTCCCACAGCCCAGTGATGCCAGTCTTCCTGTGCTCTGGAGAGCAGCCTCCCTGCCCTAATGTCCTCTTTTAACAGCTCCCCATTTTTAAAATCATTGTCATGTTCCCTCTTCCCAGTAGCTGAAATGCAAGAGAGCACAGACTCTGCGGGAGTAAGTCCCTAAGCTACAGACCCATCCATATTGGCCTTTGTGCCCATCCCCCACACTCCAATTTTCTGAGACAAGGTCTTCTGAAGCCTAGGCTGGCCTGAAACACACTAACTAGCAAGGATGACTTTGAACTTCCCATCCTCCTATCTCTACCTCCCCAGTAGCAGGATTACTGGCCTGCACCACCATACCCAGCCCATATTAGTCTTTCTCAGCAAAATGGACAAGAGCCCTGTGTAGCTGGATGTGGTGGCTCATATCTGTGATTCCAGCACTCAGGACACAGGCAGGAACTGTGTTCGAGGCCAGCCGATGGACACTGAGTTCCGTGCCAGTGAGGGCTCCGAACAAAGGCTTATTTGGTCTTAAAAACCCTGAAAGTAAAAAAGAAAAAAATAGAAGCTGACAAAGTATAAAAACAAAAATCACCTCAGATTTTCACATTAACCTTGTTTTTTTTCTTTCTTTCTGGAATCTCAGGGAGGCTGACATGTGGAATTTTCATCTGTGTACTTTCCTGCAAGCAGGTGATGGACGGCATGTCTGTTCTCCATCAAACAGTTATTTGATGGTTCCCAATATCGTGTTACCTTTAAGACTGCTCATGGACTCACGGTCACAGTTTTCAGATGAGGAGACCGAGAGGGGATGAGACTGGTGTCGGACACCAGTCTTGACAAAAATACCTCTTGCCAGGTAAGCATAGGGATTTAGAAATACTAGTGAAGAATACGAAGACAAGGTAGCAATAGGCTCACATTTTTGGGCCTCCACAGACTGAAACATCTGGAGATCAGCCCAGAGCCTTGCATATGCTAGACAACCACTCTACCACTGAGCTAAACCCTAAGCTAAGCAGTCATTCTTCCTGCACAACACAGCTCACAGGAGAGCAGAGATGTCCACAGAGAAGAAAGGGATCCTCCATCAGCGGCAGGTAGGTCCCGGCTAGACGGGTGTGAGTAAAGCCTTTTAAGAACTGATCTTGTGCTGGGTGGTGGCGGCGCACACTTTTAATCCCAGCACTCAAAAGCAGAGGCAGGCAGATCTCTGTGAGTTCGAGGACAGCCTGGTCTGCAGAGTGAGTTCCAGGCAGCCAAGGCTACACAGAGAAACCCTGTCTCAGAAACAAACAATTGATCATGTGATGCAGATGAGAGCAACTCTAAACTTCCTGGAAGACTCCATGGTCTGTAAATTTTTAATAGTACTGTAAAAAAAAAAAAATGGGTCAATTGAAGTGATCAGAGGAGAGTAACTTGTGAATGAACAGCACCATCAACAGCAGCTGGCTTCTGTGCTCTGCAGCGACTCCTAACTATCCACACAGCAGGGGGCCGGTTATAAACTACACAATTGTGGGTGTCTCCACTAACACCAAACACTTGGGTGTGCACATTAAGACAGACATGATACCATAATCGTGTATGAACTATTCCACCTCTAGTGGGAGGACCAGACATTATGCAGGAACCTGTTTGCCTCATGATAAGATGATGATGGCTGGCATGCCAAGGGTCAGGAAACTACAACCTCCAGGCTCCATTTGCCCTACCTGGCCTTGTATGAATTTTGAGCTAAGAATGATTTTTATGTTTTTATACGGTTGTACTACATTGCCCAGAGTGATGCAGAACTCCTGCAGCCTCCCAAGCAACTGGGACAACAGGCCCACTCCTAGCTTACATTTTTAAACGGTTGGAAAAAGAAATGTTTTATGACATATGAAAAGTATATGAAAATTATCCAAGCTCAAGCTTGATTCTTTTATAACAATCACATATTCCTTTTCACACCAGCTCACTGGGAAAGAAGCCTTTGATCCCAGCACTCGGGAGGCAGAGGCAAGAGGATCTCTGAGAATTTGAGGCCACCCTCGTCCACATAGTGAGTTCCAGGCTAGCCAAGGCTATATAGTAAGACCCTGTCTCAAAAAATAAGAAAAAAATCACCCACTCTGGGTGGCCTAAACCTCCTCAATGACAACTTGATTTTGAGTATGTAATGGAACACAAGTTCGGAGTCAGTAAGTCCCTTTTCTGCAGCTCCCTGTTCAGGTGGTAGAGGTCACAACCTGAGCCCCAATTCAAGTCCAGCCATCCACCCTCAATAAGCCAATAAGAAGAGTCAAACTAAAAGTGGGGAGCAGAAAGAGGAGATTTATTCAATGGCAAAGGCTCCAGAGAACCCCAAGTCTATTTTAGGGGCCCTGAAGTGAGGCTAAAGTTTAAATAGAAGGCCAGAGGTTTGCACCTCTGTAGACTGAAGTTTCTATCCCACCCGGTCCCGCAGTTGATCAGTTCCAAAGAAACACACAGAGGCTTATGTTAATTATAAACTATTTGAACTATTGTTCAGGCTTATTACTAATTACCCCTTACAACTTAAATTAACCCATAATTCTTATCTATGTTTAGCCATATGGCTTGGTACCTTTTCTCCATAAGGCATTCTCATCTTGCTTCCTCTGCATCTGGCTGGTAACTTCCTCTCTGCCTTTACTCTTCCCAGAATTCTCCTAGTCTGGCTGCTCCACCTATACTTCCTGCCTGGCTACTGGCCAATCAGTGTTTTATTAAACCAATATGCATGACAAATCTTTACAATGTACAAGAGCATTATCCCATAGCACACATCTAAGCAGTCCTGGTCAATGTGTGGTTCTGCGCACCACTGACCCAGCCTTGTCTGAGCTTCAATTTCATTCTATGAGGTGGTCTGGCAAGTCTTTGAAACAGTGTGAAGTCTCTCTCTGAAAGACAAGTGCTTCCCATACCCTCACCCTCCACCCTACCTCTGGCTATATTACCCAGTCCCCACCCCACATCTGACTGGTGCCTTTTACTTCTCCCAGCATAGGATGCCTGGGGAAATCCCTATTTCTTTGGGATCCATTATTTCACTTGTCTGGTAGACAGAGAGAAAAAAAAATGGAGCCGGGCAGTGGTGGCCCACGGCTTTAATCCCAACACTAGGGAGGTAGAGGCAGAGGCAGGCGGATCTGTGAGTTTGAGGCCAGCCTGATCTGTCAGAGCTAGTTTCCAGGACAGGCTTCAAAACTATAGAGAAACCCTGTCTTGAGGTCGGGCGGTGGTGGCGCATGCCTTTAATCCCAGCACTCGGGAGGCAGAGGCAGGCGGATCTCTGTGAGTTCGAGGCCAGCCTGGTCTACAAGAGCTAGTTACGGGACAAGCACCAAAACTACAGAGAAACCCTGTCTCAAAAAAAAAACAAAACAAAAAAAAAAAACAAACAAACAAAAAAACCCTGTCTTGAGTGAGGGGGAAAAAAACTTCATTTCTGCCAAGCCTGTTATGTACATCACTGCTGCCACCTACCGCTACCCAAAGACAGCAGAGTGCCCAGAGACTTTTAGTGAGCGCTTCTGAGGAAATGCAAATGCCTGGGGTGTAACCCCGTGACTGTAACCTCAGAATGCTTTCCACAGATCAAGTCCCTGCTGTGGCAGCCTCCATGGATCTGGAGATGGATTTGCTAGTGACCTGGCTGAGACAGAGCAGCTGCGATCCCATATACCACTCCCACACGGTGGGCAGCCTTTGCTTTTCCTAACCGGGACAAAGAAAGGGCCGCCTTTGTCCCAGCATCCCCAAACATGGAGAAGACACTGCAAGTCCTCTCTGCTCTTTATTCAGTGACCGGTACTTCTCAGGAGGACCCTTACGAGAATTCTGAGACTTAATGACACCACCCCCCTCATGCCCCCAATCTCATCAATGTGCAGTGTAGATACAGTTTTTAGGATACTGCCCGACTGGCGGGAGGGGCTTCCACCTTGATGTCCGCAAACCTGCCCTTCCATCACTGGCTCAGTTTAGTAGATGTTCATTCTTTTTTTTTTCATTACTTAGATCAAAAATTTTTCAATTATTCTCTCTCCCACTGCCCCTAGCTCCACCACTTGAGCCCCACCTACCTGCTCCCAACTCAGGGCCTTTGCACCTTGCGCCCTTTGCATGGCTACCAAACTCCTAGCTGACTCAGCCGTGCACTAGGCACACCGGAGGGAACGTGCCCTCCTTAGAAGATACAGTGCTGGTAAATACCAGCCCTGCCTTGGCAGAACGAGAAGATCCCCCAGGGCAATAAGCAGCTAACTGTGTGTCGGGTGGAGTAAGTGCCATGCAGGAATAGAAATCTGGGTACTTGTACAGAGTATGAGACCCCAGCAGCAGCACAGGGACACATTTTCTGTGACAATGAGGCGTGTGGAGGGGTGCGATGAGGACCAGGAGTCGTCTGGATGTGAGCAGGATCATCACCCTCGGAAAAAGCCAGGCAGAGCAGCCTTCCTATGGCTGTGAGGCAGCAAGGAACTGTGCCCGATGTTCAGTTATCAGCTCGAGAGTCAAGGTTTAGTGCCTCATCCCAGAGGGCAGAGACTGGAACCAAAGCGCTTAGCTGACCGATATTGGCCAGTATAGACATTTCATCTCATCTGTTCAAAGACGGTTGATCTTTTAGATTTTAGGTCACAGCCAGCCTGTGACCTGGATAGCTCATTTCAGACCAGGTGTCTCTGAGTTCAGCAAACAACAGGCCCAGGCTTCCTGAGTTGCTATCCTGGAATCCTGGAACTTGCTCTGTAGACCAGGCTGACCTCAAACTCAGAGATCTGCCTGTGAGTGCTGGGATAAAAGGTGTGTGCCATCACTGCCAGGAGTTATTAATTTTTTTAAGGCTTATTTGTGTTTGTTTGCCCAGGTTTATGTGCACTGTGTGCACTGGAGAGCCGGAGGAGGGCAGATCCCCTACAACTTAGGTTACAGGCAGTTGTGAGCTTCCTTGTAAGCGCTGGACAGTGGAATCTGGTCCTCTGCAGCAACAGGAAGCCCTCCTCAGCACTAGCCATCTCTCCAGCCTGTATCAGAGATTGTTGCTTGTTTTTTCTTTTGTGATTGGTTTGCTGAGACAGTATCTTCTACTTCATAGCACAGACTAACCTGGAACACACTATGTAGCCGAGGCTGGTCTCAAAGTCATAACTAACAATCCTATTTTAACCTCCCACATCCTGGGATTAAAGGCTTATATCACCAAACCCCGAAGCTACTGATGTCTTCTTGTTGTTGTTTTGTTTGCTTTGGCTTTTGTTGTTTTGAGACAGAGTTTCATACAACCAAGGCTGCCCTCAAACTCACTAATACCTGAGGCTGGCCTTAAGTATCTTCTGATCCTCTTGCCTCTACCTCCCAAGTGTTCGGATTACAGTGTAGGAGGAGGAGCGGCAGCTTAACCCATCCCCCCCCCCGAAATAACCACACTGAAATTATATTAATTAAATTACTGCTTGGCCCATAAGCTCTAGCCTCTTATTGGCTAACTCTCACATCTTGATTTAACCCATTTCTAATAATCTGTATATCACCACAAGGTCATGGCTTACCGGGAAAGATTCTAACCAGTGTTTGTCTCAGGCAGGAGAATCATGGCGTCTGCCACATTGCCCTTCTTCCCAGCATCCTGTTCTGTATACTCCACCTACCTAATTTTCTGTCCTATCAAAAGGCCAAGGCAGTTTCTTTATTCAACCAATGAAAGCAACACAAATCCAGAAGGACCTCCTACACCGTTACAGGAGCCCATCATTACACCTGGCTGTGCTGATTTGCTTCTGTGGTACTGGGATGGAACCCAGGCCTCAGGTGTCATAGGCAGGTAGACCAGGCTGGCCTTGAACTCACAGAGCTCTGCCTGCCTCTGCCTCCTAAGTGCTGGAATCAAAGGTGTGAGCCACCATCACCAGGCTTTCCTTTGTTTCTTACAAGGTTTTTTTTTTATTTATGTGTATGCGCCATCTGCCCACAGAAGAAAGTGCTGGAGGCCCTGGAGCTGGGGAGACTGGCAGCTATGAGCAGTCTGATGTGGGTGCTGGGACTGCAAAGAGCACCTGAACCATCTCTCAAGTTCCTCTTCTGGTTTCTTTTAACTTAAAACACGGTCTGTTCTGCAGCTTGCCCCTCACCCCTGGCCATTAGTTTCTGCTTCCTTTACAGGTTTGGAGATGAGAAGTAGTCAACCTCTTAGTGAGCCCTTCAGGTTCAGCATCCTTGCCACGTATGGCAGCACACACTGGGAACCCCAGCACGTGGGAAGATGAGGCAGGAGGATTGCTGTAAACTCAAGCCCGGCCTGTGCTATACTCAGGTCTACAGTCATGCCGTAGCCTTTACTACAGAGTAAGATTCCCCACTCCCATCCCCCTGAAAAAAAAATCAGGCTGGAGAGAAGGCTCATTGATAGGATCACAGCAGCAGACAGACACCTTGCTCCAAACAAGGTGGTAGGGCAAGGGCCAACACCAGTGGTTGTCCTCTGATTACACACACACCGGCAAACACATGCTCTCACACATCAATGGCTGTACATAAACACATACACACACATACTGGCAAACACATGCTCTTACACATCAACAAGTGCACACACACACACACATTGTAAACATTCAACAAATAATCACAAATATTTTTTGTTTTATTTTGGTTTTAGAGACAGGGTTTTTCTATTTAGCCACCCTGGTTGTCCTGGAACTCTCTGTAGACCAGGCTGGCTGCAAACTTACAGAGATCCTCCTGCCTCTGCCTTTCAAGTGCTGGGATTGAGCGTACGCCACTACTGCCCAGCTCACAAATATTTTTTAAATGGTAAAAAAAAAAAAAAGAAACAGACCCTATCCTTGTGGAATCCGACAGACTCCTCTGTCTTAGATGTAAGTGAACTGTACTTTTTTTCGTTCTTTCTTTTTTATCTTACCCAACTTTTTTTTTTGAGGCAGCCCTTTTTTTTCTTTTAAAGATATTTATTTATCAAGTATACAGTGTTCTGCCTGCTTGCACACCAGTAGAGGGCGCCAGATATCATTATTTATGGTTGTGAACACCACCATGTGGTTGCTGGGAACTGAACTCAGGACCTCTGGAAGAGCACTGGCTCTTAATCTCTGAGCCATCTCTCCAGCCATGGCGGCATTTCTTTGTGTAGCTCTGACTGTCCTAGAACTCAGAGGCTGACCTTGGAACTCACTCTGTAAACCAGGCTGGCCTGGAACTCAGAGGTCCACCTGTCCCACAATTAATAAGAAACCAAAGACAGATGTTGGGGTTCAACCTGAAGGTCAGAAAAGAAAAAGTAGCCAGTCATTGGCTCTTACCTCTACCTCAGTCCGAAATGGCGATCCTGCCTCCAGAAATCTCAGAATGAGACTGTGTGTGAGAGCTGTCTCCTCCTCTAATACTGGGATTAAAGGCGTTTACCACTACCTCCTGGTTTCTACGGCAAAGTAGTGTGGCTACTGGGATTAAAGTTGTGTGCCCAGGCTGACCAGTGGGGCTGTTTTACTCTCTGATCTCCAGGCAAGCTTTATTTATTAAAATACAAATGAAATGCCACTACAACCACCTGCATCTCTGCCTCTTGAATGTGTGGGTGCATGTGCTACCCATGTCCAGTTTTGTTTGGTTTCGTCTGTTGGTGTGGATGGGTGGGTGCTTTGTTTTGTTTTTTTTGAGACAGACTCTCGCTCTGTAGCCATGTGGCCTGGATCTTTCCATGTGGACCAGGCTGGCCTCAGCCTCACAGAGAGTCACCTGCCTCTGCCTCCTGAGTACTGGGATTAAAGGTGTGTTTATTTTCTATGAAGCAGGGTCTCCCGTGTGGCCCTGGCTAACCTGGAACTCACTAGGTAGACCTGGTTGGCTTCAGACTTTTGGCCTCTACTCCGGTCACCTTCTGAAACTACAATGTACAGGCTTACATTTCCTTAGAAACTTAGGGGACACATTTTCAGACAGTCCCTTACATTGCATTTTTCTAGGTAGCGGACCTCACTTGGCACTGGGTACAGAGAGAGAGGTGGATCCTGGGGGCTCCCCGGCCAGCCGATCTAGCCAAAACAGTGAGTTCCGGGTTCAGTCAGAGACCATTTCAAAAAACAAAAAGGGTGATAGGAGACACCTAACATCAACCTTTGGCCTCCACATGGGCACACATACATGAAGATTCTTTCCACGTGCACAACACACGGGAGTACACACACACACCACAAGTCAAGTGCAGGAGGACAGCACCCCAGAGTCTGGTTCGGCAGGCTGGGGAGGAACTGATGTCTGCATTGCTGTTATCTTCCCTGGTGAGGCTGAGGCAGCTGGTCTGCAGACCACTCAGAGTGGGTGCTTTGGTTTTATTTTAGTTTCCTTCTCTCTTGTTTTCTTATCTATTATATATCTAATTATTTTTGACACAGGGTTTCTCTGTGTAGCCCTGGGTTCCACTCTGTGCACCACCACCACCGGGCAGCTTTCATTTTTCTTGTGGTGGGGGACTGACCCGGACTGTGTGAATACTTGACCAACATGGTACCTCCAAGTCGGCATCACTGAGCTCCACCCCTGTCCCAGGAACTACTTCCCCAGCTCCCTTCCCCTGCAGTCAGACTGCTCTTCCCTGCACAATGAACACATTTGTCGTGTTACGCTACCCAGCGCCTGGCTGGTGTGTGGACATCCAGGATCCTTCCTCCGTCACCTCTGCACCCCAGGACTTATTCACACAACTCTGGGGTGGGTCATGGGCACTCTTCAAGAAGAAGCCACTCAAGTTCATGGGGATCGTGAGGATAGAGTTTAGACTGGATCCCAGCAGATGCTGCAGAGGCTGGCTCTCTCTGGAGTTCTGTGTAACCTGAGTCCAGCCTGGCCACCAGTTAAGAGCAAAGGGACTTTGCTCCCTGCCTGTCTAGAAACATACCTGGAGAGGAGACAGTCCCTGTTCCAACTAAACCTTGAACCTGGGATCTTTCCAATAAAATACAATGGGGGTAGGTTGGGGGTTTGTTCTGTTTAATTTTGTTATATTTGTTTTTGAAACAGGCTGTTTACTTAGAATTTTTTATTTTGTTTTTTGGGGTTTTTTTTGAGACAGGATCTCAGTATGAGCCCAAGTTGACCTCAAATTTGTGATCTTACTGCTTCAGCCTCCTAAGTGCTGGGATTAAACACAGGAACCACCATCCCTGACTGTTTGAGGGGTTTAAACCCAGAGAGTTGTCTGTTGTGGAAAACATTATTTCCGAGTTACAAGGATAAAGAAAGTATTGAAAATGACCTCTGATGTCTTTCTTAGATCATGCAGAATCAGGGTTGGCCCTGAGGGAAAAGAATCATGTTTGAGTCCTGTCCCATCCCAATGATTTGAGATACTGGGTCCTCCTCCCTCCCATGGAACTAACTGCCAATGTTATGGAGGCTGTTTGTTCGTTTGTTTGTTTGTCTGCAATAGTTTCATGTGGCCTAAGTTGGCCTCTAACTTGCTATGTAGCCAAAACTAATCTTGACTTTCTTTCTTTTTTTTTTTTTTTTTTGGTTTTTCGAGACAGGGTTTCTCTGTAGCTTTGGTGCCCATCCTGGAACTAGCTCTTGTAGACCAGGCTGGCCTCAAACTCACAGAGATCCGCCTGCCTCTGCCTCCCGAGTGCTGGGATTAAAGGCGTGCGCCACCACTGCCCGGCTAATCTTGACTTTCTTGCCTCAACTTCCCAGGCAGCCTCCTGAGTTTTGTGCGGTCTTGTTATCCTGAAGACTCCACAAAACGAGCCGAGTGTGTGATGGACCCACGGGCTCAGCAGAGACAACATTTCCCGAGTCTGCCTGAGTGGGGAATTGCATGGTCTGCTTGGTGAGGATTCAAGACCGTCCCACTTTAACCTCCCCTACCTCACTCTTTCCAGATTAACAGACAACTCCAAAGCCCTCCATTGCTGCTTATTTGTTTCTGTTGCTCTTTCCACAAGGGGAAAGCGGGGATGCAGCCCCCGACCCCAAATGACAGCCGAGTTTTCCACATTTTGGGAAATCACGGGAGTCCACAATCAGGAGCACAGCGGATGGGGCTCACTCGACAAAATCATCTTGGCGATCACAGCAGCTTTATCTGCCAGGTAGGCACACACTGCCATCGGCATCTTGATGGCCTCCATGAGAGCTGCCCAGGGCAAGCCAGCATCTGCCACTCACACGATTGTAGTGCAGAGGCTGTGGCCTGGCAGCCTGGAATACCAAGAAGCCTGACCAGCCAGGAGCAGGCTTGGCGACAGCAGCTCAGGGCTCAGATGGTCCCTGGCCCCGCCACTGCACAGCCCTGCCTGTCACAGATGGACGGCTTTCACAGCCACCGATTCACGTTCTTCACTCTGCCTCATGAGTGAGAGGACAGCAGCTAGGGACCGATCTCTGACCTTGACACATAAACAGCCTACAAGATTGCACTTGCCAATTAATAAGGGGTGGACCCAGTGGTTCGCCAATGCCCTTCTGCTTTAATTAGAACCAGCATTCAAAGGCCTCTGGGGAAAATCTTCCATCTGAAGTAAAGCTGAGAAGTTTCCACGTCATTCATTCCATCATTCATTCATTCAGTCACTAGCACGGACAGTCATCCGTGCACAATCATCTGTGCTCACCACGGTGCTGAGCGCTTCAAGAATTCCCAAAGCCCACTCACTCGCGCTGTCAGAAAACAGTGGACAGGCAGGCAGGCAGTCAAGGGAACACGCTCTTATTTCACAGACCTTCCGGCTCGTTTCTGCTGTGTGACCTTTGGCACACTAGTTAACCTCTCGGCCCTCGGCTTCCTCTAGGGGTTAATGATCCCACCCTCCAGAGGTTTCAGCGAGTTTAAGTGAGACCATCTGAGTACAACAGTCAGCGAGCCGGCAAGCAGCCACCATAGCGCTGGCCCAACCCCCTCTCCCTCCTGGTCTCTTTCCCCTGGCACTCTGCCAGCCACGGGGAGCCTCAGGAGGACTCAGTCTCTGCCCTCAGTCCTGCTGAGCTCCGTCACCCACCGTCACCCACTGACAGCTCTAAGATGGGTGGCCACGGCTCTAAGAAGAGCATCAGTGTGAAGCCAGAGGCTCTCCCTGAGGAAAGGACCACGGGGACTCACCTTAAGGCATCTGCTACTGGCTTGCCATCAGATGTCTCAGGCGTCTTCCGTCACTATGTCTTTATTTTCCTGAATGTTCTTCATGTTAGAGTTGCCAGCACTTGCAGGTCGAGTTAGCATTAATCACACTGTGAAGCATTTGTGTGAGGCGGTCACCAGGAAAAGCCAGGAGGACCCTATCTATCCCGTGCTCACCCCACACCCTGACACCTTGTCAAGGCTCTCCAAAGCCTCAGGGGCCTCTGGGCCACCTGGGCTGTTCTCTGGGGAGTGTCCTGAAGCTCAGCGCAGCCCACCTTTCAAGTGGCTGTCCTGGAACTCGCTCTGTAGACTAGTGTGGCCTCGAACTCACAAAGATCTGCCTGCCTCTGCCTCCTGAATGCTGGGATTAAAGGTAATGTACCACCACTGGTTTTTTTTTTTTGTTTTTTTTTTTTTTTTGAGACATGGTCTCATTCTGAAGCCCGGGCACATTCAACTCTATCTTCATTTTTAATCCTCATTTTTTTTTTCAGGAAAAAATTTAAGCCTAGAGAAAATTGAAAAAAAAAAATTACTAGTCTCTGTCTAGGTTTTTTTTCCTTAATCAGAATTTTGCCACCTTTGCACTCTCTCCCTGTCTCCATTAAGGGTATATAATATGCCTCATGTATTATGTGTAGATACACACACGTACAGGTTTAGCATTGTTGAGCCACTGAGAAGTTTCAGAAACGCTGCTTTTCCATTCTTAAACGTGGCTACTGAAACAGCCCGTTTGGCTCCCTGTGCCAGTCCCTGAAACTCAGCTTATTCTTTTTTTTTTTTTTTTTCCGAGACAGAGTTTCTCTGTAGCTTTGGGGCCTGTGTGAGTTTATTCTAGAGGCTTCTAGAGGCACCCAAGGGTGAGGAGCTGGAGTTCTGTCTTAAATCCTGAGAAGCAGGGCGAATGGTGTGGGAAGTCCTTCTGTGTATGGGTGGCTTTTATTGGTTAATCAATAAAGCTGCTTTGGCCTATGGCAGGGCAGAATAAAGTGGTAATTCCGTGCGGAGATAGAGGAGAAAAGAGGGCAGAGTCAGGGAGACGCCATGTAGCTGCCAAATGAGCCTCATGGTAAAATATAATAGGAATGGGTTAATTTAAGATGTAAGAGTTTCTTAATAAGAACCCTAAGCTATTGGCCAAGGTGTGTTGAAATTAATATAGTTTCTGTGTGATTATTTCGGGTCTGGGTGGCTGGGAAGGTCTCTGCTGACAGGTGTGTCAAGGTTAAGCAGATCTGCCAGTGGACCATACTGTGCACTGTGCGCGTGCACACCTCATGGTTCTAGGACAGGCGTTCAGGAAGGGTGGTGTCATTGTCCTCTGGGGGCTCCACAGGTTCTCTGATGAAAGGGGGCATCCAGCTGGCACTCGGGCTCAAACCTCTCTATGTAGTCATTTGAGCTATCTGCATCTCATGACCATCGTGACGGACACGCCAGAGGTGCTGTCTACAGCAGAGCTAGTGAGAGCGACCTCGAAAGTTGGTGACAAAAGCAAGTAAAGCCAGAACATTTGATTTTTCCGGTCTGTGTCTATGACGCAGAAAAGGGTTTCTCCTAAGGACCAGGGTTCTCTTATCACAGCACACGCAAAGGAGGCCGGCTGCCACCGAGCCGCACCTCCAGCCTCTCGGGTATTTTTCACTCCAGATCTCAGCCAAGGGCTAGGCTCCCAGGACAAGCCGTCTCAGTTTGACTTCCAGACCCACCCACCTTCTGACTGGTCCACCAGCCAATCCTTGGTGGCGAGGGGTGGGCCGCAGGGCAGGCTGGTGAGCTGGAGGGCGCTAACAAGGACGGTTTCCACCGAGCTTCTGGGTGGAAGCACATTCTCACTTCCTCCCAGGTGCAGTCTGCGAAGCCTGCGGCTTTGAACACCGCCAGTGGCACTGGGGACAGGCACACTTCTAGCGTGCAGGAGCCTCCAGCACCGGCCAGCCTCCGGACTTTAAGGCACCTGGCCCTTAGTGGGTCAGAACAGAAGCGATCAATGCCTTCCCTTCCCTCCTAGGAACAGCGGCAGCAGCAGGACCTGCTGCTTACCCAGACCCCCACCATCACGATCCAATTCTGGATCCTCCCCCCCTGCTCCTCATCCTGCATCCCCCCTCCCCCCCCACAATCATCAGGTGTAATGAGGACACTTCGCAAAGTCCTTCAAGCTTCTCACGGTAATGGTTGTGTCCAATCTCTCAGAGGACCAGTTAGTTCAGCCTTCCCCTTTCTCTCCAATTCGCTCAGCTGTTCTGGCCAGCTCATGCCGGCTGCCACTAGCCTTGAATGAAGAGTCCCCACCTGGGGGCTGCTTGAGCTTCTACCTCAGCTTGCAGTCTGTACCCTGCTGCCCTCTCCCCGGCCTCTCGGCAGCCACCAGCTTTCTGGCTCACACTGCACGGAGCCCGACATCCCGAACTGGGCTTCTCCCAATTTATTAGAGTCCTCAGAAAGGGCTTGATTAGCCAGAAAACAAGTCACAGGCAGAAACCAGAACACCAGAACTGCCCTTGTTCCTTTAGGGGCTAGAAGCTGGGGGTGGGGGGTGGAGGTGGGGGCAGGTGTGCTGGCTGTGAATCCCAGTGTTTACTGGCCTTGGCTTTTTTAGCAGCGCTTGACCTATTTGGAACTATTTTATTTTTTTCACTATAGGATGGATTTTTTTAAAAAATATTTATTTCTTTATTATGTATACAATATTCCGTCTGTGTGTATGCCTTCAGGCCAGAAGAGGGCACTAGACCCCATTACAGATGGTTGTGAGCCACCATGTGGTTGCTGGGAATTGAACTCAGGACCTTTAGAAGAGCAGGCAATGCTCTTAACCTCTGAGCCATCTCTCCAGCCTCCTGGATTTTTTTTTTATTAAAATGGCAATGTATCATTACTATAAAAATCAAACATACTGAAAATAGAAGCTGGGAGACCACTCAGCAGTAGAACACTTGTCAAATACAAGCAAGGCCCTGGCTTCCACCCACGGCAAGAAAAAGAGAGAGGGGGGTGGGGAGAGAATGACTCAGTGGTTAAGAACACTGACTGCTCCTCCAGAGGACCCACTTGAAGTTCACAACTCTCTCTAACTCAATTTAGGGGGATCCGGCATCCTCACACAGACATACATGCAGGCAAAACGCCAGTGCACATAAAATAAAAATAAACAAATTATTTAAAGGGGCAGAGGGAGGGAGAGGAGGGTAAGGCAAGGGGAGGGGCTGAGAGAAGAAGACATATATATTTCTCCCCCGCAGTTCTACTACTGGAGGATCATAACCACGGTTGATCCGATTTTGGTGTCTTCTCTCGGGACAACCCCCAGCCTCAACTCTTGTCCTGCTCCTTGCTCCATGGTTTGGCCACCATGCTGGCGACCCCCTCACTGAAACCCTCCCACTGGCTGACTTAGTTCCAGGCTCTGTCTCAGACCCACGTCAAGGTCTCTACATGACATCCAAGGGTGGCTGGAATCTGCACATTCTTCCTCAGAGCCCTCAGGTCTCCGTCCTCTAGGTGACGCCAGAACTGGGCATTACTTGCCCTGACTAAAGCTAGAAAGCCCGAGGGTTCTCAGTCTCTCTCACCCTCTCCTCACTCGCGGCCAGCACTGGTCCTACCTGTTGTACTGGTTAGGTGTGCCCCCTTCCTGTCTGCCTTTCCAGTTCCTCAGCACTGTCCATCCTGTCCTGTGGCTGGTCTCTGCCCACTCTCTTTCACCCCTGGCCCCCACTGTCCTTCACCCCTGCCCCTTTCACTCCTATCCCCACTCCTTCACTCCCTGCCCCCTCCTTTACCCCCTGCCCCCCACTGTTCCATTCTCTTTCCTAAGAGGTTTTTTTTTTTTTTTTCTTTCATCCTTTTTGAGACAGGGTCTCAAAGCCCAGGCTGTCCTCAAACATCCAGTCCAAGATGACTTTGACTTTCGGTTCCTCCTGCCTTCACCTCCCCAGTGCTGGAATTCCAGGCATGCTCTACCATGCCAGGTTTATACTGTGCCAGAGGTGGTCAAATCCAGGGCTTCCTCTTTGCTAGGCCAGAATTCTTCCCAGTCCTTGGCTTTGTAGACCACGCCGGCCTCGAGATCCGCCGGCCTCTGCCTCTGGAGTGCTGAGTTAAAGGCGTTCATCACCACGCCCGGCTGGCTCCAGGAATGCATTTCCGAGTATCACCCGATGCTTCTAAAATGGACCTATTGCAGTTTTTTCTTTTTTCTTTTTTTACTCTTTACTCTTTGGGGGCCCACCACCCAACTCCCCAATAATTACATGGAGGCTTATTCTTACTTACGATTGCCCGGCCTTAGCTTGCTTGCTTATAGCCAGCTTTTCTTAAATTGTCTCATCTACCTTTTGCCTCTGGGCTTTATCTTTCTCTGTTTCCATCTACCTTTCTTTCCTTCTTACTCCATAGCTTGCTATGTGGCTGGCCGCTGGTGTCTTCCTCTCCTTCTCCTCCTTTTGCTCTCCTTGATCTTCCCTTCCTAGATTTCCCCTTCCAGTCTCTCTGCCTGGCAGCCCCACCTGTCCTTTCTTCTGCCTTGCTATTGGCCATTCAGCTCTTTGTTAGACCAGTCAGATTTTAGGCAGGCGAAGTAAGACAACGTCACAGAGCTAAAGAAACGCGAACATAAAAGAATGCAGTACATCTTTGCATCTTTAAACACATATGCTACAGCATAAACAAATGCAACGCATCTTCAATTAATATCCCAAACACCCTGAGTACTGTTCTAGGGCACGCACGAGCCACTCCACCACGGAAGTGGGTTTTTGCAAAACCACATTTCATTGGCCGAGTGCTGTCACAAAGGGAAGTCTCTGTCCTCCATGAATCTGCCTGTCAGCGACAGCCTAAGTCACTCTTCTCTGTGAGACAGAAGATGGAAGATGCAAGTTTTAGTACCAAGAAAGCTAGTTGCCATTTGTATTGGAGGCACCTGGGAGACTGAAGCAGGAGGGTTGCCCATGTCTGAGGTCAGCCTAGGCTACATGGTGAGTTCCAGCCTGGGTTACAAAGACCCCATTTAAAAAAACAAAGCAAAACAAAACAAAACAAAGGGTTGGGGACAAGTCTCAGCTAGTAAAGTGCTAGCCATGGAAGCCGAGGGTTTAGTTGGCATCGCTAGCACCGACACAGAAAGTTGGGTGTGGCAGCGTGTGTCTGTAATCCAACACTAACGAGGACGATCCCTGGAGCTCGCTGGCCTATCTGTCTAGTCAAATCAGTGAGCTCCAGTAAGAGACTCTGCTTCAAAAAACAAGGTCCGGTGCAGGAAACACAGGTAAAATGGGAAAAGATGTTTATGTCAAGCTGGACAGCTGGAGTTCAGCCCTGGAACTCACATGGTGGAATGAGAGAATCCACTCCTGCAAGGTGTTTTCTGGTCTCCACACACACATGTGTGTAGTCTGTGTATGATCATACACATGGACATTTACACACAGACAATGAGAAAACACTGAGTACTAAGAGATGGAAGCATTTCCTTAAGAGTAAATCTAAGCCTGGGTGGTGGTGGGGAATATTTTTAATCCCAGCACTTAGGAGGCTGAGGCAGGTGGATCTCTGTGAGTTCGAGGCCAGCCTGGTCTACAAAGCGAGTTCCAGGACTGTTACACAGAGAAACCCTGTCTCAAACAACCAAAAGAGAGAGAGAGTACATATAGAAAGTCCTCGCTGTGTCCCTCAGCACCCAAGATGCCCGCAATCAAAGCCACTCTCTCACCAGCCCAACCCTCTATGCCGAGACCACTGCTGTTCTTCCCACAAGTACACATGTTCCTGAGGAGGCAAGAGCTGGGCAGAGGGCACAGAGAGCGAAGGGTTTATCCGCATTTCTTTCCATCAACTCCATCAGGGAAGAGGCGATGCCAACTGAGGGCCAGGTCACACTGTGACCCTGGGAAGCTTTGCTTCATAGTTAACAAAATGAAGAAGATTGTATCTTACAACTTTTGTTGATATTAAGACAAAGAGGCTGGAGGACCTGGGTGCAGCCCAGTGGTAGAGAATGTCCCCCTAATGTTGTGCTCTGGGGCTCACTGAAAAGAATGGAAACACCTCCCTCCCCCAACAGTCCCTAATCTCATCTAG